CTTGGATATAAGACTATTTTTGTTTTTCAATTTTGAAATATCATTTTTGTATTTTGAAAATAGAGTCTTATAATCCGAAGCCAACTCATTATAATCATCTAATAACTCATCATAAGATAATTCATCCAAATTGAATGAGTTAGAGGTTACCTTAGAATCTTCCCCGATAGCATCAAGCACAAGTTTGCAACTTCTTGTTCCTCTTCATCGGAACCTTCTTCATCACTGCATGTAGCTACATGAGCCTTGTGCTTCTTTTTGGATTGACCCTTTTTCTTCAATTATGGGAAATCATATTTGACATGCCCCTGCTTTTTGCATTCATAGCAAATGATCGGGTCTTTCTCCTTCGATTCAGTTTTGAAGCCTTCATGACGTTTGAATTTTCTTCCTCGGTTGGGCATCATCAACTTTCTGAATCATTTGGCAAATAATGCCATTTCCTTGCCATCATGCCATCATCATCGTCATTCGAATCACTCTCATCTTTTGTGGATTTGAGAGCAACTCCAATGTTTTTCTTCTTCTCCATCTCCTTTGGTGTCTCGTCAATCTTATCGAGGTCCACTTCATCTTCAAGCATCGTTTTATGAGTGAGAAGGGAACCGATTAGTTCTTCAAGAGTTAAGAACGTTAGATCCTTAGACTCGATGATTGCCGTCTTCTTTGATTGCCACGATTTTAGAATGGAGTAGACTAACTTCCTCATAAGCTTTTCATTTGAAATGATCTCTCCATATGATTTGAGACCATTGACAATCGTTGAAAATCTATCCGTCATAGCTTTGATATCTTCATTTGGTTTCATCCTGAAATTTTCATAGTTATGCGTTAGAATACTAATTTTAGATTTCTTTACCTCATCGGTACCTTCATGAGTGACTTGAAGTTTGTCACATATTTCTTTGGCGGTTGTACAAGATGAAACTCTTCCGTATTCATCTGGTCCAAGAGCACAAAATATGATATGGATGGCTTTGGAGTTGAGCTGGAACATTCTTGTCTCTCCTTCACTCCACAATCATGGATGAGTGAGAGGCTTGATGTATCCTTCTTCTATGACATTCCATGCTCCCATGTCACTTGCTTTAATGAAGTGCATCATCCTATTTTTCCAATAGGCATAGTTAGCCCCATTGAAGAAAGAAGGCTTGTTGACGGGCATCGAATCGAGACCGGAGTCGAAGTTTGAAGTAGAGGCCATTGATGACTTTGATTATCGATGTAACTCTTCCCGAATCGACTCAAGAGGCGATTAAACCTTCAAATGAGTTAGGCTCTGATATCAATTGTTGAGTTAATCGATCGATGGAATCGGCCAAGAGGGGGTGAATTGGCAATAAAAATTTTGGTGGAAGCTTTTGTAGAAAATTGAAAGTAATTGCACAGCGATTTACAGTGGTTCGACTTTATCAACCAAAGTCTACGTCCACTACCTTAGCTATCCACACTAAGGATTTTCTAACAAATTCACTAATTTGTTCTTTCTTTTGAGGCCAAAGAGATAACCTTACAATTCCCTCAAGAATATACCCCAATTCTTGGGAACACTCTTTTCTCAAATAGGATATTACAAATTTGCAAGAAAAACCTCACAAGACAAATATGTTTGCACAATTCTAGAACAAAGAAAGAATACTCAAGAATAAATACAATTGAGCACAATAAGTGTTCTTGAAAGCAAAATGAATATTGAATGAAAAATAGACTTGAAATGCTCAAACTTGAGGTTTGATGCTTTCTCTTTGATTCTCTCTTGATTCTAGTTGCTTGATGTTTCTTGTTGTTGATCAATGGCTTCTAAGTTTGTTTAAATACACCTTGAATCACTTCTGAACATTGGGGATCATTAATGAATTTATTGGAGTTGTTTAAGTGTGAAAACAATTAATATTTCTGCTTAGAGCGTGGGGGGAATCGGTATCCCCTCATGGGGAATCGGTTCCCTAAGTGTAAAATTCAAATATTCGACTGTTGAACAGTGGGGGGAATCGGTTCCCTCCGAGCATACTGGAATTTCTCGGAGCAAAACCATTCAGGGGGAATCGGTACCCCCTTGGGGGGAATCGGTTCCCTCTGGACAAACTGTAATTTTTGGCTTTGAAACGGTTCGAAATATTTTGTAAAATTGTTTTGAAATTATTTTAGGATTAAAACTTAATTTTACACTTTGGTAAGGATTTAAAATGAACTTTGAAATACTTTGAGTAATATTTTGATATTCGATTTAATATATCGAATATGCTTAGAAAAATCATTTTCAAAATTAAAATTCTTTTAATTTAATTTGTTATATCGAAACATCAAAATGTTTTCAACAGGTATCGTGCAAGACTGGAGGTCAAAGGATATACTCAAAAATAAGGTATTGATTTCAATTAAATCTTTTCTCATGTGGTTCGACTAACAACAGTTCGAGTAATAATGTGTGCTATTTTGAACTTACATCTAGAGCATCTAGATGTTAAAATAGCTTTTCTTCATGGAAATCTTGAAGAAGAGATTTGCATGCTCCAACCTGAAGGTTTTGAAGAAAAAGAAAAGAAAAACTTGGTTTGCAGGTTGAACAAATCTCTGTACTGTCTAAAGTAGGCGCCGAGGTGTTGGTATAAGAGATTTGATTCCTTCATTATGCGCCTTGGATACAACAGACTTAATGCAGACCCTTGTGCTTATTTCAAGAGGTCTGGTGATAACGATTTTGTTATATTGTTGATGTATGTGGATGACATGTTGGTTGCAAGACCCAACAAAGATCATATTGAAGAATTGAAGGCACAACTGGCTATGGAATTTGAAATGAAGGACTTAGGATCAGCAAACAAGATTCTAAGGATGCAAATTCACCTAGATAAAAGTAATAGGAAGATTTGGCTTTCACAAAAGAATTACTTGAAGAAAATCTTGTCACGATTCAACATGCAAGATTGTAAGTCAATTTCTACCCCTCTTCATATTAACTTCAAATTATCCTCCAGTATGAGTCCTAGCAGTGAAGAAGAGATGATGTAGATGTCTCGAGTGCCGTATGTATCGGCAGTGGGAAGTTTAATGTTCTTTATGATATGCACAAGACCAAACATTGCACAAACAATGAGAGTGGTTAGTCGGTACATGGCGAATCCAGGCAAAGAGCATTGGAATATGGTGAAGAGGATCCTGAGATACATCAAAGGGACCTCAAATATTGTATTATGTTACGGAGGATCAAACTTACTAATTAATGGGTATATAGATTCTGACTATGCAAGGGATTTGGATAAAAGCAAATCTACTACAAGATATGTGTTCAAAATTGCTGGTAGAGCTGTAAGTTGGGTTTCAAAATTGTAGTCAGTTGTGGCTACATCCACAACAGAGGCATAATATGTAGCAGCTACACAAGCCAGTAAAGAAGCAATTTGGTTGAATATGCTATTGGAGGAGTTTGGGCACAATCAAGAGTATGTCTCTTTGTATTGTAACAGTCAAAGTGCCTTGCATTTAGCAAGGAATCCATCATTTCATTCAAGGACAAAGCACATACGAGTTCAGTACCATTTCATTCGTGAAAAGGTGGAAGAATTGACGGTAGATATGCAGAAGATTCATACCAAAGACAACATAACAGATTTCATGACGAATGCGATCAATGCTGATAAATTTATTTAGTGTCGATCCTCTTGTGGCCTGTCAGAGACATAAGCAACATGATGGTACAAGGTAGAAAGAATGGTGTGAAAATATGATTGTTCTAATTAAATCTTCAAGTGGGAGATTATTGAAAATCGATGCACATGGCATCGAATTATTTTGTCAAAGGGGGGCACCGAAAGGTGCAACAATTGTTGATTTTTCAACAATGGTAAAATCTCAATTTTAGTCATTGTAATTTAGGGTATTTACAAATTAGTCCTTAAGCTTCAACTATAAATACCCTAGCTCATTTAGCTTCAAAACTATCCCAAATCATTCTAGCTTTCTCCAATACTAGAGAATTTAGAGAGTTTCTTGAGAGTTGTTTTCTCATTTTTTATCAAGAGAGAATTATCATTGTTTTCTCCTTGGTAGATCGAGAGAAGTTGTAATTCCTATTTTCTCATAGTGAAATTCTTCTACCGTTGCCCGTGGTTTTTACCCTATATTGTTTAGGGGTTATCCACGTAAATTTTGTGTCTATTTTATCTTTATTTTTATTTTCTCAAATTATCAGTTGCGATTTTGCTATATCCGATAACCGTCTTCCGCAACAAAAACTACTCGGCCCTCATTTTCCTGAGAAAAAAAACTAGAAAGCCAATTTACATTTTCTTTGATTTGAGGTGGAAACAATAGTGAGTCGAGGGGAATTTCTTTTGTCTTAGACAATAGGTAAATTAAATTCTCTAGATTTTGACATGATTCATGAAAAAACGATGTATCTTCTTGAATGGGTTCAAATTTCAATACTCTTCTAGAAATTGATAAATATTTGAAATCACCCACGAAAAACTTCTTCTTCGAGCTTTTATTTTATTAATTTGTGAATTTTTAGGAATTTCGAGCATAATTTTAATTCTTTTATCCGTAAGAAAATTCAAAATTATTCTTAAGAATTTAAAATTTGAAATTCGAAATAAGTCAAGATAAAAATATCCGTAGTCAAATAAGCGCCGATTTTACGGGCGTATTTTCTAGTTTTCACATACCTAAATTTGATATTTTTAATAAAATAAAATATTTTATTAAAATTATCCGATTTTATAGGTTAGAATCACATTTTAAAAATAATTTGCAACGAGTGCTAACATTTAACAAATCTTTTCAAAGACTCCCTAAACATTTCTTTTAAGTACGAAACTTAAAATTTTTTATTCGTGGAAAAAATGGTGCGCACAGTCATTTACATAAATTAATGGCGACTCCGATCATAAATTAATGGTGAATTTGGTGAATTTCAGCACAACAAAATCATAAAGCTCAATACTTGTAAAACAATAAAATTCCATAATCTCCATATTCAATCTATTCCATTTAAAACAACTCCTCTGCAAATTTTCAAATACCCTTCAAACTCATCCATGGAAGCGATTTCTCTCATCATTTTACTTGGGAGGAGGGCGTGAGCCAAGGAGGCTCTGCTGCTGCAACTGAAGCTCACTGAATTGCTGGTCACGGTCCATCTCGATGATAAGTGGCACCACAAGTATAAGGATCGTTGTCCCCGCCAACCATGCCGCTTTTCCAGTGCTCTTCAACAGCTTCTTCGAGACGTAGGCGGCGTCGTTGGCGACCCTCTTGGTGGCGTTCGTGATTCCGGACTCGGATACTGCGCGGGATAGTCTAGCCACGATGCTCGTGCCGTCGTTGTTCCCGGTGGAGCCTTACCCGCAGACCGACATGCTTTCTTTATAAATGAAATCTTGAGGATAGAAAACCAAGTGAAGGCTTTTGTCCTAGAGAAAACGTTTTGTTTTAACACGGTTGGGGATTTTCATTTTTGTTTTGTTCACTGAGATAATTTTTCTTTTTGTACTTTAAAAAATGCCTATTATTATTTATCATGTATGTTGATAATGAAATTTAGAGGAAAAAAATTTTAGTGAATGAGTACTGTATTTTTTGAAGTGAGCTCGTTCTTGTATATGTAGTATTCGATTCGAATTAATCAATTAATAAATTAGATATCAATGGTTATAAAAGAATATTTTTTAAATTGTATTTTAAAAATAAATAAATATTTTTTTAAAAATTTTAATTAAAAAATCACTATCAATAAACCAAATTTGTTTTCGAAGTTCTATTGATAATGAAATTAAAAAAAAAATCCGAGAACGAATTTGAAAAATTATCCTTTATTAGATTTGTTACTAATTAAAATTTGTTTATCGGTTAAACAAAATTTTAATTAATTAAAAATATTATTTTTTATAAATTATCAACCGATCTAGTAAGACAAAATATTAATTTTTTTATTAGAAATATTAAATATTTTAAAGGTTTGGACATTATTTTTAAATAGTTAAAGGAATAGTTGTTATTCTCAGAGGTCTCAGACCTGAACGCTAGAGACTGTAGGGTATTTGAGTCATCACTATCAAATGATTAAAATGATGGTTATTATTCATAGAGATCTTATGTTCAAACACCAAAATTACAAGGTATTTGAAGGTTCATTGTTAAATAACTAAAGAAATGTATATTATTAATTAGTAAGTCTCAAATTGAAACATCAAATACTACAAGGTATTTAGATATATATTATCAAATGTTTAAGATTTTGAATCTTGAAAATTTATTAATAGAAAGATTTAAATTTAAAGAATTAATTTTATAATAAATTATATAATACATAAATCATAATTAATTAATTAATTAATTAATATATTAAATATTAAGGGATCATAGAACATTTGTATCTGTTTAAATTTAATTTAAAATAAGATATGAAAAAAATTATATAAGTTTGACCTGACGAAAAAAGTTGTATTAAATAAATATATATATTATGCATAAAAAGACAGACATGTTTTTTTTAGTAATTTATCTTGAGAAATTTAAAACATGCATTTAAAGTATTATTTGTTTACCAACTATCGGTTATTTTAACGTAATAAGACACTAGATTTTTTAAGTAATATTAACGGTTCAATTTTGATTAAACGATCGATTATTCTAACATGATGACACTAGATTTTTTAAGCAAGATCAATGGTTCAAATCTTGATTTTTGCGTATGGAGCAATCTGAGTTGAGGGAGTCACCCTCATAATGGTTCTCTACAAAACCTGATCTAGATAATCGATCAATAGATCAAATACCAATGATAAATTCAAAGAATATTAATCGGTCAAGAAATATAAAATTACTTGTTTAAGAAATATTTTATAAATGCTGCATAAAATTTATGAATTTAAGAACAAATAATTAAAAAATTCTCTTAAAATTCACAAATTAACAGGAAGAAGGATTCAACAGTGTCAGACTCAAAGCTGAATTCATTTTCATTTTTCAAATTTAATACTAAAATTTTTCATTCTAAACTTTAGGGCATTGATTCATCAAAGATATTACACAATTCTGTCAAAAAAAAAATACACAACTTCATCAATGAAACTGAAACATTAGTAAATAAGTGTAAGATCTCTCTTTATATACTGTAAGCATGAGAATGGTAAGTTTAACATATGATCTACTTTACCAGAATTGGATACGAGGGTATTCATTACCATTTCCCTGTTAACAAATCCGCTACTCCTCCCAAATCCTCTGCTCACAACTAATGATGTGTTGCACACCAAAGGTACTGATATGGTTAACCCTAAACCACACCCGGATTTCCAATAGCTCATGCACTCACTTCCGATGAGGACGTCTTTGTATGCTTTGCAAACGCTAGAGACATACTTTCCCAATGGCAGAGGTTGCTGGTACACGTACGAAACAGACTCGTCGGGGTTTGAAATATCGGAGTCTGCATGGAGGTTCACCACTACGGTGCCGTGTTCTGGATGGAGACGATCACTGAGAGAATTGAGAAATGGGGACTGTGGATCCCACAGTTTGTTAGGGAAGATGTCATCACCGTCGTAAGCATCGATGAAGATGATATCATACAGATTGTTGTTCTCTACAATGTACTTCTCGGCATCTGCTTCGTAGAGGTAGAGCCTCTCGTGGATGCCCTTCCACATTACTTCGTTGATGATATTGGATTCTAACAAGGCGCGACTGCCTGATGGTGTCATGACTGAGGAGGGTGGAAAGCCCATTGCTTGCACAGACGCTGAGATAACAACAGGGTCAATTTCGACAACATGGATCACGGCACCTGAAAGATGCAGAGAATCTATGGGTCAGTTGATTTGGATGCATATCGGGGGTAATATGTTGAGTACGAGGAACCCGTATCTTCAATCTATGGTGACATTAGCTGTTGAACTTTCTCTTGTTCAAAATGAGGACATAGTTTCAACCAATGACACTGAGCAAGCTAAAGAGATATAAAACCAATAACTAACTTCTAACCTTGAATTTTACTAGCCAGAAACAACGGCAAGCTCCCCCCGCCATGCCCGATGCATAAAATGTGCATCCTTTTCTTCCCGTGTACTGCCGCCATTAGATCATAGTTAGAAGATGCAATAGTAGACAGCCCAAGTGACAACATGCTTTTAACATCTGCAGAAGTACCATCAAACATATAATAAGACCAGAAAATGCAACGGGTATTTACAAATATATATATACACATATCTAAAGAAAACATATCGTCCGCCAACAATTTAATTTATGAAATACTGTGTAGTGTAGATGTGTATTGTGTTTTTGTGTGAAAATATGAGTTGATATGGTATTAGTGGTACAGTGTATACACTCGAATTATACTTACAAGCATATTTTTTTATCGATTTGAATGTTGAAAGAATGCAGCCATGCAGATATAGAATTGAAAGAAAAATCCTGCAAATGACTAAATTTGAGAAAAGAAATAGAGAAGCAATTTACATGGCATAGCCAGGCATTGAGGTTGCTGCATAATACATATAGAGCCAGGTTCAGTATCCCGATAAGCAGCCATTATTTTAGCTGTACTTTGGCGAGTATGATCGTTAAAACGAAGAACACGCCATTGATATCCAAGTATCTTAAAATTCCCACTCTGTTCATAACCTGGATATATCTCTTCGTACCTTTGCTGAAGCCATTTCTCTGTTTCTGCCCAATGAACTTTGTCCTATAAAAATAAACCAATTCATGATTCAGGAAAGAATTTCGCAGCAAAAGAAGGTTATCAATAAGAAAAACAAATAGTTACCCCAAATCTAAAACAACTGAAAAGCATATAATACTGTCAAAATAGATGAAGTTGAGTGATTTTACGATGCATAAATTTGAAAACAGAGTGGAATGCGAAGAAAACTAACGGGCCTAGAAGAAGGGTAAGCGAGGACGGAGACGACGCCATTCCCTTTATCGGAGACGGAGCGGAAGACGGTGTTTCCATTGGATTCGGATTCGGATTCTGATCCCCACCACTCGGGTGAGTAAAGCCAATCGCCTTCGTCGAATATCCGGCTCGGTGCGCCGCCGGTGAACAACCGCCGGCGCATGTTGCATATCCACCTCGAGCCTGCTCTGCTCCACATTTTTTTATGAAAAACCCTGACTTCGCGTATCCTTCTAAGGCCTTAAACCCTGAAGTTTCTAATGTTTGGTCTGAAATATACTTAGCTCCCTACAATTTAAAAAACATCCATCTAGCCCCCTATATTTGACGAAAATTTCATTTACCTTTTAATATTTTTATTTTATTATTAATTATAAAATAAAAATTAGTTACTTAAAAATTATATTGAAGTACACTATAAATATTCATTAATGTAAGTGATGATTGTAAATATGTGTTGTCATTGGATGAAAATTATTAAATAAAATTATCTAAAATAAATTTTATAATGAATTATTTTTTTGTTGACAATCATCATTTTTTGACAAGGACATACTACGTAAGTATTTTTATCCCTATATACTTGTTAAATCAACTCTAGACATTGATTGTTTGTTAAGTAATAATTTTTTATAAAGGAAATTTTTTACTTTAAAATAAAATATTAGAATCAAATGCTCCAAAAAAGAATAAAAATTAAAAGTGATTAAATCAATCATTAGAAACAATTTTAACATTATACCAAATTATAATTATACCACGATTATTTTCTTCCTTAAATTTAATATTAGCTCAATTTAATCTTGAATTTTCCATATTTTTCTATTTAATCCTTAAATTTCCTTAATTTTATCTATTTTAAAAAAAAGGAATACATGTAAATTTCTAACCTTATTTGAGGTGTGACAATCGACTGACTAATCATGTATCGATCTTAATATATAATTTTTGTTAGAGTTCACAATAGCACTTCTCAATATTTATTATTAAATAATTTATTTATATACATAAATTGAAAACGAAATGATAATGATATTATCTTTGATTAATAAAAACATGATAAAATATATTTATTATAATCATTTCTGATTAATTTTTAGACATATTTCAACACAAGAATCAAATAACTTCAACTAAATAATTTTCTGAACTCGTTTTCAAAATCAAGTCTCAACTACCCTTGAAATAGACAATATCCATCCAATATAAGTCTAAAAGATCCTTGGATCATTGTTCAATTAAGATAAGAATCAAATGATTTCTTAGTATTTGAGAAGCTTTCGTTGATCGCAATATCGAGTAGAAGGGTGAACATTGAAATCTAAATTTTTTATTGTTTATTCATTTTATTGATGATGTTTATCCTGAAATTTTATTTATGTCTATTCACATATAATTTTTTTATTTTATTAATATATGTGTCTAAAAAGTATTTATGAATCCGTAATTGTTTAAGAAGGAATAATTTTTAAAATCAAACAATTGGATGATGAAATCACTTTGATGATGACACAAATTGAAAGCCAAAGTGGAAATAAACAAACCCATGCACACGTAATTCAACAACAATCTCTTCAAGAAGGTGAAGTTTCTAACGAATTTGTTGAGGGACTTGGATTATTACTTCATATCAACAGGAGTTCATCAAAGAAGTTTAAGTCGAAAGTGTTGCTTTGTCGTTCAATGTATAATGGAGTTGAGTCAAACTTTTCACTTAAAAGAAATCAAATTCAACAACATTTAAAAACACATAAGAATGATGGTAAACAGGCGTTCTCAAACTTTTAAGAGGGTGTGTTATCTATCAGAAATTCATGGTAATAAACCCTTGAAGATCCTTGAGTGGGTGTTATCGACCTTCGAAGTTGCAACAGTTCTATCGTAAACATGTGTAGTTTGTGGAAATGTCTAGTAACATTGGCATTGATGGTGTTGTCGTGGTGAAGTAGTTTGTTCGGTCGAAAACGCCGTTGATTGGTACAATATTACTTCACCAACAATTAATCTCAGCTTAAAATTTGAGTATATAACTTCACTGTGCAGCAAGTCTTAGAATGCAAGAATCTGCAGAACAGGGCATCAACAACTAGCCGCTGTTGCCATCAACCCAACTACGCCCCTGTTGCTTCCTAACTCCCTTCTCCTCCATGCGAGCTCGAATAATCTCGGCATCGTCTCTTCGTCCACAAGAAAGATACATTTCGGCTAAAATTAAGTATATACCAGGGTTATGAGGCTCCATTTCCAAAACTCTCTCTGCAGCTATCACCCCCAATTCGATGTTATTATGGATTCTGCAGGCTCCAAGCAAAGCTCCCCAAACACTAGCCGGAGCTTCGATACCATTAGCTTTCATTTCATTAAGAAAACTCATTGCCTCGTCTATGCGTCCGGATCTCCCCAAAATATCCACAATACAAGTATAATGCTCAGTTGTAGGCTCAAGAGAGCATTTACTTTTCATATAATCAAAGTAGTATTTGCCTTTGTCAACCAGGCCAGCATGGCTGCAGGCCGATAATACACCAACAAAAGTTATGTGGTTAGGCTTAACATCAGTTAGTCTCATTCGCTCGAACATCTCGAGAGCTTTTTCAGCATTTCCATGGTGCGCGAATCCACATATTATAGAATTCCAAGAAATAACATCACGGTCGCTTGGCATGGAAAAGAACTCAATCAAAGCAGAGTGCATGTTGCCACATCTTTCGTACATAGTGACCAAAGCGTTTGAAACGGCAGTGAAACGATTTAAACTCGATTTAACAACTTGAGCATGAGTCTGGTATCCTAGGTCTAAGCTCGGCAAATTCGAACATATGGTGAGAACACTAGTAAATGTAGCTTCATCAGGGTGGAAACCTGATTCTTTCATTCTGATGAAAAACTTAAAACCTTCTTCCCCATAATCAGTTTCTCCAAGCCCACATATCATCACATTCCACACAGTCACATCTCGAATCCGCATTGATTCGAAAATTCTAGTTGCATTCCTAACCTCATCGATTCCGAAATACCCGACGATAACATCCGTCCATGAAACAACATTATTATATGGTTGTTTCTCCAAAAATGCATGAGCTTCCTTGACAAGTCCTTTTCTTATCAGCCCCAACAAGATTGAGTTCAATGTTTTACAACATTTGAAGGCATTTCCATGAAATAACCCAAAGCATCTGTAAATCTTCTACACATAATCAGCCCATTTATTAATAATTTCCAGGAATCCAAATCCTTCTCAGGCATTTCATGAAATAAATTTTGTGCCAAGTCAACACACTCAAGCCCTATATAGCCCTCTAACATTGCATTCCATGCACGAACATCCTTCACCGGCATCTGTTCAAAGTATTTACCAGCATCGGCAGTCCTTCCAGCTTTTGAAAGCCCTGAAATCATAACAGTCCAAGAAGCAACATCTCTATGACTCATTCTTTTAAAATACTCTTCGGCCAAGTCGAGTTTTCCACATTTTATAAGCCCTTCAATCGCTAAGTTCCGAGATATAACATCCTTGACAGGCATCTCCTCAAACAACTTCAAACCTTTGTCCGGCATTCCATTCATGAAATATCCTCCGATCATAGCATTCCATGTCACCACGTCTCTACAAACCATCCCTTCGAAAACCTCACATGCACCTTGCACATCACGGCCATGCATGAGCCCTGAAATCACTATGTTGTACGTGAAAATATCACGTTCTGGCATCTCCCGAAACATAGAAATGGCTTTACCGAAATACCCATTCAGAAAGTACCCACGAATTATGGTATTCCAGGTAACAACGTTTTTGTGAGGCATTTTGTCAAACAGATTCTGAGCTTCTTGGATAAGCCCATTTTTCATCAAAACAGAAATTTCGGAGTTGTGGGGTTTAAGGTTTGAGTTTGTTATGGATGTTTGATTGGTTTTCAAGAACGCTGGGGCTAAAAAAGATAGGTGTCTGCTGAATTTTGACGGAAAGCTTCGGGTTAGTTTAGGGAAAAACATGCCCAGGAGTGAAAAAAAGGTAAAGAAAGTTGTTAAGAGTGTGCAACAATTAGGCCGGCTGATGCTCAACTTCACGTGGAATCTCAGACCTGTCGAGCAGCAGTTATTAGAAATTTTCTTGAGACTTTTTGTCACATTTCCTAAGAATAATTTAGGGATACTACATTTAATTTGTCACCTTTTTATCTTGATGTTAGGTCAAAGTGTACATATCGATTGATTTTAGGCTTTCAATTTTAAAAAAAGAAACTAATGTTACATTTGAAGTTTTTTAACATTCATTGTAGTTCTTAAATTAAGAAAAAAAATTAATCATTTACTAACGGAAATAAACATTCATAATTATGATTTTGACGTGATAATTTATAACATTGATGAGATGATCCATAATAATAATATGATAATATGTGGTGTTAACATGATAGTCTACGATGACTAGTGACATGTAAGATGAACTAAATTAATTTTTTTATTGAATTCAAAGTAAAATTAGATTTTTTTTTTCAATAGTCTGGATGATCATAAAGTAATATCTATTCAAAAAAAATTAATCATTGACAACGTACAAACATCCTACAGATGCAACTAGGGGTGAGCGTTCGATCGAGTCGAATTGAGCCGAGTAAAAAAACCGAGTGGACGAGTCCTATTTTATAACTTGAAGATGACTTGAATTTTTTTTCGAGTCGAGTCAAATTTTAGATTTTATGCTAAAATTTAATTGTAAATATTTATAGTATTATGATATTATTTGATTCCAATTTAAATGGTTTTTATAACCATATACAATACATATATATTTCTTTAATTTTTTTCATATATGATATACATATATAATACCAAGGCAGAACTCATGAGAGGCTAGTGGGGGCCATACCCCCCAAATTTTAAAATTTTTAATTCAGACCCTTAACTTTTTTTAAAATTTAATTTAATCTCTCAAAAATGTTAGAAATTCATATTAAATTTTAGATTTTTTTAATATTCTTAATTAAATACTCTCCCATAATTTAAAAAAATTCTCATTAAGCCTCTCAAAATTTCAAAAAAATTAGTTAAACCCTAATTTAAAAAAACATAAATTAAACCCTTCAAAATTAAAAAAAATAAACTTCTATTTTTTTAAAAATTTTAAGTTGTACCCCTCAAACTCTATCACCAAGTTCTGTCACTCTGTCATACAAAATTGAGGAACTCAAATAAAACTTGAAAATCAATCAACTAATTACTAAAAATTTC